GGAATGTTTGCTGATAAATACGGCCGCAGACCATCTTGGTGTATATCATATATACTTATGGTACTTGGTGGTGTAGCAACTGCATTCTCGCCATCTTTGAATATTCTCTATATTTCTCGTCTTGTGGCCGGTATTGGCACGGGTGGGGCACTGCTCAGTGGATTTGTGTTGGTCACTGAACTCATAGGACCGTCATACCGTGGCATAACTGGAGCGTTATCTTCGTGTTTTTTTACCTTCGGACAAATGTTGCTGCCGGCTTTCGCATACTTCCTTCAAGACTGGCGCAAACTTTCATTCATTTTGTCTTTAGTTGGTGTTATTTTTACGTTCTTTATAAGGTTAGTAAAACTCTGTTATATTAGTCTCCACACGGAGCCTCCCATAGTCATAGAAAGGTTATACGACGCAAATAGGAACACTTTTTAACAACGTGTCATGGCAAGCTCACATTGTCACAAGGTAGAAAGCTGTTTGGCACAATGCTCGAAGTAGCTCATTTCTCTATATCATAAACAGCTAGTGCATAGCACTGCAGTGAACGTGTTAGTCAATCGCAAAAGTCCAATAAACGAACCCACCCGACTAAGTAAGGGAAAAATGCTGACCCTCAATCTACAATCATAGACAATTGACAACATGCGGACGCTGATTAAAAATGGCTGAAGTTTAAGGCAATCAAATAATTATACGCATATTCAGCCGTATTATGGTCTCACACAGTCTCAATATGATAGGTTACAAAGAGTTCTCAATGCTGCAGCACGTGTGGTCTGTCTAATCCCCAAATTCGATCATATTACTCCCGTTTTGATTGGCCTTCATTGGCTTCCTGTACGGTATCGGGTGATTTTCAAGATTTTGTTGCTGGTGTACAAGGCTCTTCATGCTAATGCACCGCCTTATATCTCAGACCTTCTGACACCTAAGCATATTGGTTGCTACAGCCTGCGCTCGAATGAGCAAAATTTGCTAATAGTTCCTAAGACAATGAGGAAAACGTTTGGCGACAGAGCTTTTGCCAAGGCTGGTCCATTTTTGTGGAATGAACTTCCCACTGACATTCGTGAGGCGTCAACAGTGGAAACTTTTAAAAAACAGACTTAAGACCTTTCTTTTTTAAAAAGCATTTTATCTTTAAATATAATAGTAAATTTTAAACATGAATATATAGGTATCATCTCATACTTTATAACATTTTATTTGAATTTGTGATGATAGCGCTTTAGAATATTTATAGTTTTTAGCGCTTTAAAAATTAATAAATTATTATTATTATTATTATTCCCCGTTCCCCCGTTACAGTGTTGTTGGTACAGATACCGCAATTATAGTTGCCATAATGACTAAAGTGTTCATCAACATTGTTTCAGGGGAGGGCCGGGGGACCGCCTTATGAAGTATATATGAAAATGTTGCAAAAAATAATGTATTGTCATGTTTGTCCGAGTAAATTTGTCGATGATTGTACACTTTGGGATTTCTATAGGTTATCCCGCAAGCCCTATGTGGGACTCAAAATTCTTTCTTATACAGATGATATAGTACGGACAGTACATAGTTTACAAACAAATAGTTATATTTGATATCTGTACATGTCTTTGTATGTTATTGTATAGGAGTGTCCCAGAGTCTCCACGATGGTTAATGATAGTAGGTCGTGTGAGCGAAGCTGAAGACATCCTTAGTGAAACTGCGCTATACAATGGACTAGCTTTACCTAAGACATTACTACAGATAGGACGACCTGTGCAAATATCACGTAGTTATCATGGCTGTTTAGAATTGTGTAGAAATTGTCATATTGCAAAGAAAACTATTGTGATTGCTTCAATATGGTAAGTTTTATATATAAGCTACATTATTAAGCCTCTTCCAATTTTCCCGTTAAATGACGTATGTCCCGGTCAAATGAGGAGTTGATGAGAGTTAGACTTTTCTCGATTGTGCTAGTGTAACTGGCACATTAAGCTACTGGCAGTGCCCGTTTTTTGTCTAAATTATGCTCGAATTATGCTGGATTACAAAATTATGCTAGTTTTTGTTAAATTATGCTATTCACAAAACGCATTATAAAGGTCAAAATTTTAACTTTCATCCAAAGCGGATAGATACTTATCTTCCTTGTCCTGACCTGTTCTTAGCTTAACTAACAATATGACGTATATAGTTATGACCATTGAACTATAAAGTTATGACTCACTCAATCATTGTCCTCAAAATGCTCAATGCTCAGCTGATTAGCATTGCATTTTAGCCATTTTGGATTTTTGATGAGAGCGTGAAGTGGTGGACTGGGTCCGATATTAAGTGTACTTTTTTGGATTCGGATTGGATATTTTATGGCCCACTAGAGTGCCTGGACTACTAGCACTATGGAAAGAGATTGAGGAAAGCTTTAAAGCACCAGTATCAGGAATAAAACTTGTCATGGCTTCAGTATTTTGCTCTGAAAGTTATATATATATATATATATATATATATATATATATATATATATATATATATATATATATATATATATATATATATATATATATATATATATATATATATATATATATATATATATATATATATATATATATATATATATACCAGGTGGCCCAAAAAAAAGTACTCCTGTTTGATTCGTAATAACTTCTAAACAAGTAAAGTTTTTAAAGAGAAATAACTTGCATTAAATAGAGGAAGGACTAACTTAGATGTTGATATATTACAGTTGTATTTAACTTAAAAATTCACGGATATATTAATGTTAAAAATGGGGAGCATATTTTGGAATGTGTCTAAAATTAGCGAAAATCGGCATATCAAATATTAACTCCAGCGTTTGTTTGCTTAATGACATATTAGGCTAACTTGTATTTCAGCGAATTATCGTTAAGGTTTGTAAGGGATATGGCGTAGATTTAGACATCTTACATGTAAGTCTTAGCTCATTGTTTCCTGAAATATGAACGTTCGAAATTATGCAAGTATTTAATATTAGGTCTTTGCAAACTTAAATGTACATGAAAGACTGACCATGGAAGGCAGGCGCTTAAATTTTTCGTATTCTTAAATAGCCTAATTTTTTTATGTTTTTAATGGGTTTAAACAGACTGAGTAGATTATTTCTCGGTTAGAGCAGGATGAATATTCTTTATTGAAGGAAATAATATTGCTTTTTGCAAATACACATCACCGTATCAACGCTACTATTTTGTTACGTTTTGTTCCAAAAATGTTGCATGTCTCTGGGGAGTTGCTTAATTGTTATGTCTTATGGAGTTGTATGGTTTGATTGTGTTTCATATAATTCTCAGTTTACTCCATGAACTTGCCAAGATTAAGAAACGGCAAAAGAGTTTGGGTGTTCTTAACAAGATTTCAGAACGTTGCAGAAGTTAGAAGAGCTTCACAATTCCGTTGTGACAGCATGCCCTAATTCAGAACTACGAACGATCCAATGACGATCCTTCGCGATGCAGTGGTCTCATGAAATAAGGAAACGTATTCGTGCTAGGAACACACGCGAATTTCGGACGAATGAATCTTGCTTGTATTTTGTAGATATAATAATACTTTGTTTCATAATAAACAATTTGTCAAGTGTCATTTATTTACTGGTAATAGTGCATGTTTCAGTCGGGCAAATCTTGATTAATATTTGATACGCCGATTTTTGCATATTTCAGACACATCCAGAAATATCCTCCCGAATTTAAAGATTAATATCTCCGTGAATTTTTAAGTGAAATACAACTGTAATATATCAAAGTCTAAGTTAGTCCTTCCTCTATTTGATGCAAGTTATTTCTCTTTAAAAGCTATACTTGTTTAGATGTTATTACGAATCAAACAGGAGTACTTTTTTTTGGGCCACCCGGTATATATATATATATATATATATATATATATATATATATATATATATATATATATATATATATATATATATATATATATATATATATATATGTGCTAGCACAATCGAGAAAATCCCGATAAGGAAGTTGCAACTCTCGGTCACGTCTGACTGCAAAGTCTCATCGGTTCCCTGATACATGCACCCTCATCAACTTTAGCTGATGAGAGTTTCGCCACACGCGCGGAAATAACCGTATCAAGTCAGCTGTCATCAACACTCTTGCAACTCTTGTCTCGCCTAGAGAACAGGTTTGCAAACTTTATGGAAGTAGAAATATTGTACAATTCATTATCAATGTATGTTATTTTGGGGGGATTGTAGTGCAAAACTTTGATCCTTCCATCTGCCCAATAATAGCAATGCATGCTT